TCATCATCATCATCATCATTCAAGGTTGTTGAAGATCTAAAGATCCATGTTGCAAAGTGCAAACAATTCAGCATCTTAGAACAAGCAGACATTATAGCTACAGTAATTTCCCTTATAATCAAGGGCTTGCTAATGACTTTTCTAATGAAGACCTTCCTGTTTCCATTTGCTTCTCTTTCAGGCAGGTTTATTTAAAGCTTTCAAAGAATTCTTCCAAGCCGCTTCATCTCGTCCAGCACCGTATGGAATCTGTCCATATCAGTCATCCCGGGCCATCTATGCTGTGGATCTCATGTTGAAGTGGTGTCAAGGGCAAAATGGTAACCATTAATGCTCCACTATCATCACTATCACTTTTTCTGTATTCCCATTTGAATATCTGCTACTTCTAGAAATAGTCCAAGAACAACAAGAAAAAAATACACCCAGTCTTTTTTTTTTGGGAATATGTAAATTTTGTGCTGGTTTGTGCAAAACAGCCCGTTTCAAAAACTTCTAGATTGTTGGTCATGCAGGTGTCGCTACATATTCTCCCACTCACAGAGAACAGAGTTTCTTTTTATTTTTGCTTGCAAGTTGCAGTTTGAGCAGATCAGTTTAGGAAGGAGTGTTTTGAAACACACCAACAGGGCAGGACTTGCCTAAATACATGCACTGAAGGAAGGTTATGATCCTACTGTTAGTCACAAATCTGCAAATGTAAGTATAATGAATATTGTGTGCTTTGAATTGTTATTCAGCATGAACATGGTTTGTCATTTAGCACAAGCTAAGACTGAACGACACCCTCTGCTAGTCCCGTGTCTCACTCTGTTACACACAGATATCCACAATATCTGTGCATTTACTGTCAAAAGTGATGGTCTGCATTGAGAACTGATCAGGTGAAATCTCAATATCTGAGAATGATTTTGTGTATTAAATGTAATGGACATGTTTTGTATAGGCCACAAGCATATTCCAGCTTGTTGCAGGGAGCATAATAGTGGACCTTTAAAGTTAGTGTTTGCATTGTACAATATAGAATAACAGTTATGATTAAGACTATAATGGGATGCTTCTGCTGAAAAAGGTTTGTACTTGATCCTGCTGCTCAGCACAGTGGTGGAAGGATGATGATTGGCCTGTCCGTATTTCAATAATTCTTGACTTGTATGGATTGATAACAGTGTTTCACATCTATTTTGATCATAATCACTGCTCCAAAACTCTTTAATGTTATTGCTGGGAAAAATCATTTGGAGTCCCACTGTTTGATGATCCCTCCTGTACAGCTGGTTAAAATATCAGAAGGTTATTGATTTACTAAGGCACCTTGTTTACCAGGATCTGTTTTGTGTTGCTTTTACTTTCTTCATTTTTATGTTCTATTTTAATAACAGTATAAATGTTCTTCTTGGTTCAGGTGAGCGGATCATGCAGCCTCAGATCCTTGAGTTGAACTTTAGCCCTGACTGTGCCCGGGCCTGCCTCTACCATCCGGACTTCTACAACCACATGTTCCAGACTCTGTTCCTGGATCAACCTGAGAACTGTCCAGTTACTCAGATAGTGTGAACAAAGCTTCACCACAGAAGACTCTTTATGGTTTAGGTTTTTGTAAGCTTTTTCAGTATTAAACTGATTGATGTGTTTCACTGGAACATATTTTGTCCAATCAGTTATAAGGTAAACAACCTGCTCAGAAAGTAGGGGTGTCCATGTTTTTTGTTTTCAAATAGGAAATCTGACCCTGGTAGATGACAAATGGCACACATCTACTTACTGAATTTAATTAAAACAGGAAAATAAATACATAAGCAATTAATACAGCTGTATTATAAGAAAATGGAAGTGTTTGGGAACGACAACATCTCAGCCACGAAATGTTAGGCCACGTAAACTGACAAAGTAGGGTCAGTCTCCGCTGAAGCACATAGTGTGAAAAGGTTGCCAACTTTCTGCAGTAAATCGCTCCAGTACTTCATGTGCCCTTCAGATTAGCTCAAGAACAGTGCACAGAGAGCTTCATGGATTAGGTTTCTATGGTAACCAGCTGCATCCAAGCCATACATCACCAAGTGCACTGCAAAGCATTGTATGCAGTGGTGTAAAACACGCCGCCACTGGACTCTAGAGCAGTGGAGGCGCATTCTCTGGAGTGACGAATCACGCTTCTCCATTTGGCAATCTGATGGAGTCTGGTGTGGATGGCCAGTCAAGTTTATCCACCTAGTTGGTGCAACCCAATAGAACACGTGGGATGAATTAGAGCAGAGACTAAGAGCCAAGCCTTCTCGTCCAACCTCAGTGTATTACCTCACAAATGCACTTCTGCAAGAATGGTCAAAAATCCCCATAAACGCATTCCTAAAGCTTGTGGACAGAGGTCCCAGAAGAGTAGAACCCTATGGATTAGGAATATGATGTTACTTAAACTCATATGTGAGTCAACTTTTGGCATTATAGTGTATTTTGCCACCATCAAAGAACACATTATTAAAGTAACTCAATAAGTCCAATGTCCAGACCTCTTCTAAACTTTTTCATGCTCAATATATTAGTAATCCTTTACTAATGCAGTTAACTTACAGCATAATTCAGTTGCAGCAATCAGGTGATGATGCTAAATCAAATGATTATAATGTAAAATCATCTCAATCTAAGAACATGTTTCCCAACTCTGAAACTGAATTTGAGGAACTGTGCATGAAATTTTAACCCCAGTACAAGTCTGATGGAGAATGAGCTATTTTGTTGGGGCTCATGGAGTATGAGCCCCAACAAAAAGTGTGGAAGCAGGCAGCAGTCCTTGGGTGCGATTGGCCACAGACTGTTTTAACCAACTGATGACTGATAACTTCGCTGGCCAGTGAATCTTTATCTTGAACATTGGGGCCCCCAGGCCTTAGCTGTTGGTTGAGCTCCAGTTTAGAACTGCAGTCTTTAGGAATTCCTGGGTTGTTTCCTTACACACAAAGCAGCCCTCGGCCCTCCTGGATCAAAGAAGATCCATGGATCTTCTTTGAGGTTTGAATCAGGGCCTTTGGTCCGTCTTGATGAGAGCGTGGTGACTTCCTGGAAGGAAAGCCCATCGTTCCTTTTCTTGTAACAGACTTTATAAGACTCTTTCTATCATTGAGATCCATACTCTCTAATTGCATCACCAAAAAGGATGCTTTATCTTTGGTTCACCTGAATTTAGCCACCAACATGATGTAAATAGAGCTCTTGCTCATGCTCGGGGGTCGGGGAGGGGGGGGGGGATGGTTGACCCTGGGTTGCTTAAAAGCCAATTTTACTGCACATGGGTCACTCTTTCCATCCTCTCAGTTGTTTCAGTTCCTTCTTTTAACCAACCCTCTGCTTCCAGTTTCAATAGGGCAGAAGCTAAGAGGCCAAAAAGGCTTTATCTCAGCAAAAGAAGTGAAAAATGGACTGTCTGTGAATTTGCAGCTCTACAATCAATTTTCAGCATTATTACATATTGGACAGCTCCGAAATGCTGAGCAGCAGTAGATCTGGATGTTTCAAACTGGAACCAGGTCTATCTAAATCTTATGTTTCATAAGAGCAGCATCAATCAAT